CAGTTGGCTGGTTTATCACATTTAAAGAGCATTTTAAAAAAGGTTTGGTTTATCACATTTAAAGGGCATTTTTAAAAAGGTTTGGTTTATCACATTTAAAGGGCATTTTTAAAAAGGTTTGGTTTATCACATTTAAAAAGCATTTTAAAAAAATGAAGAGGATGGAGCAAAGATTAAGATGATAATTACTCAATAGAAAAAAAGGCAGAAGGCATAATGGTATGTTTTCTCTTTTTCTTATTTTCTATCTTTTGAGTCCTTGGTGTTTGCATGCAGACGTTGCATTACCCAACTAGGTAATAGCATCAGTGCAAGTGAGTGTGGGGGTTTCTCCCTGTTTTTATACAGTAGTTTGCCTTGCTATCTTGGTGGGGGTGTGGTTTTCTCCTTGGTAGTTTCTTGATTAGGGTATTGTTTTCTGCTTGTTTGTCTGGTGTTAATCCCTGCTTATCCTGGTGTTGGCTGCTGGAGAGGATGTGTTCTGGTCTTTTTGTTTCCTTCCTAATTTTATTATTGTCTCTTTTGAATGGTATGTAAATATGGTTTATTTCTGTGTGTTTATTGATGGCTGATTTATCTGAATGCCAATCTTCCAGGAATTCCCTAGCATTTTTGGATTTAGCTCAGTCTAGGATGCTCAGTTTCCCAGTTGAAACTGTGATTGAGTCTGTCCATGTGTTGTGAGATTAAGTAGTTTTCATTGTGTCTTCTGACTGCTAGCTGGTGTTCATGGATGTGCCCTGCTAGTCTTCTGCCTGTCTGTCCTACATAGTGGCTGTTACAGTCCTTACATTGTATCTTGTAGATCACTGTTTTTTCTTCTTGGGCTACTGGGTCTTTTGATTTACTGAAGATGTTTTGGAGGCCTTTAGTTGGTTTGTGTGCTACAGTGATGCTGTGTAGTTATAATAGTTTGTTGGTTGTTTCTGAGATGTTTTTGATGTATGGCACTGCTATCCTTTTCATAGCTTGTGTTGGTTGTGCTGTAGTGGGTTGAGTAGTCAGGCACTTTTTGATAAAGTTGCGTGGGTATTCATTTTGTTGGAAAATGTTGTATAGATGGTCTGTTTTCTTTTTCTGGTTTCTGGGTTGCTGCAGTGCATTTGTACTCGTCTGAATAATGTTCTTACACAGCTCCCCTTGTGGGAGGTTCGGTTACTTTGGTAATGGAACTCTTAGTTAATGTGGGTTGTTTTTTGAAAGACTTGCATTTCTAATTTGCCATTGTTCCTCTGCTGATGATATCCAGAAACAGTAGTGTGTTGTTTCTTCTTCCCTTGTGAATTTTCTTCCTTTGAAGATGTTGTTTCATGTGTCTTCTCTAATTGTCCCTTTTTTATTATGACAGTGTCATCTACATACTGAATCCATACTTTTGGTTGTATGTGTGGGAGTGCTAGTTTCTAGACTCTATATTACGCTCTCTGCTATGAGTCCTGAGAGTGGTGGTCCCATGGGTGTTCCTCTGATTTGTTGGTATATTTATCCATCAAACTGAAAGTAGGTAGTAAAGCAGAGGTCGATGGGGTCCATGATTCTGAGTATTTCAATCTTAGTGTATTCAGCTAAGTCAGGTATGTTGTATAGTACTGCTGCCATGGATTCTTTTGCTAGTTCTGGATCTGCAGACGTGAAGAGTGCTGTGACATCAAACGAAACCATAATTTGATCCTCTTCCATTTTTAGGTCTTTGATTTTCTGGAGGCACTATTGTGGGGAGTTGATAGAGCATTCACTCCCCTCTGTGAGATAGCCAAAGAACTTACAAAAAAGCCTGGACACATTGTATGTTGGGGTCCCTGGTAACAATACAATTGGACGAAGAGGTATGTTGGTCTTGTGTATTTTTGGGCATCCATAGAAGTGTGAGAGGATGGGTTTCTCTCTTTTACATACTTATACTGCATTGAAAAATGCTAATAAAAATATTTTTTAAATATTTTTTTAAAAGGCTATGGTTTGCATCCAAGCTAAGTTCTCATACCAGTGAGTGTCCCTGAAATCTGTAGATGTTCCTCTTCACTGATTTCAATGGGTTGCAAGTGTAACTAATTTAGGCTACAGTTGCAAACATGTTTATTAGAGCATACATCCTATTGAACACACAGAGGGATTGGAGCACAAGTGCCCATAGGAATATACTGTATAGCTGGATGGAACTTTGTACCTTGGATATGTAAAAAACTGGTGGAATGGGTCAAAGCAGTTAGCTAAAGCAGAGAAATGTCTATTCCAAATAGGAACAGGAAACTGCCCTTACTCCAAAACAGACTTACCCGAGTATCGTCTGCCCATTGGCTGGGGATTATGCGTACTTCAGTTTAATATGCTTGGAAAACACCAGGTTTGCAGTGATTGTTTTTCCCATTTAGATGTATAGGTAGTCCTTGCTTACTGGCTGCCCTGTTTAGTGACCGTTTGAAGTTATAACAATGCTGAAAATGTAATTTTATGACCCTTCCTCACATTTACAACCGTCACAGTTCCCACAGTCACGATTGCCATTTGCTCACTTCACAGCTGGCTTCCGACAAACAGAATCAGTGGAGAAGCCAGCAGTAAAATCGCAAATCACGGTCACGATGTCTCACTTCATGACTGCATCACAACAGTTATCAGTCCCAACTGTGGGCATTAAGTCAGGACTACATGTACCCTATGGTTGTTCAAAAGTTGGAAACTCAAGAACTGTCATCCCTGAATGGGAGAACTGTTCCCATTGAAAAATGCCACACTGAGTTGACTATCCCTGTGGTGCTTGATTTGTCATGGTTCACTAAGGCAGGGTTTTTCAAACTGAGTGGAATCTTAGGGTTCCATGATAATTTGATGGGGTTCTGCAAGAGACTAAGAACAATAACCAAAAAAAACTTCATTCAAAAAGAGCCAATGTTCTTATTACAGCTCTGTTTCTTGATCAGCAGTTCAAATTTTTTTTTTTTAAACAGGTTTTGTGGCCTGAAAAAGTCTGAAACCCCCTACACTAAGTGCCTTTCCCAACTTGTTCCCAACCAGGCAGAAATATGGCCTGGCAACAACTTTTTTCTGCTATGTCCCACAATGTTGGCTTCATCTTCTCCATCCCAAAAGAGAAACAGCTATTAATTGTCCTTCACTGTACCAGTATTAAAGGACTATGTTTACCTTTATTCCAATACCATCCAAGGTCAGCCTTAAGGGGTATAAAATCGATTAGGTGTCACAGGGATGGGGGAATGAGAAAATGTATGTCATAATGTCATCATGCAAATCCCATGACTTCTATACTTGCATCCCACTACGAGATGGTGGTGTTTACAGGGTGGCATTATAATGCCCATTCTGTCTTTTTTTTTTTTCTCACCACCAGAGTTAGTAGCAGATGTCTCGGCTGTTTCCTGTTGCCTTGGAGAGTCATCAGGTGACTGCAGTAATCTGAAAGAGAGGCAACAGAGGCAGGTTAGGGACTGGGAGTGGCGATGGCAAATTTCATGCTGCTGTAGCTTTCAGTCAATGCCTCAAAGGAGGGGCATTTCATTTCAGCAGGAAGGCAAGGCCCCATGACATACAGACGGCCATCCCACTGCAGTTGGATCCCTCCCTGCTTCCCTGGTTTATTTTGATCCTTGCAGCAAAACGGGTTCAGGAGGAGCCCTGCAGTTCTAGCCTGCTTGATGGATAAGGGTCTAAGAGGATTCTAAGACCTCTTTTAAGAGCATGACTATACTGTATACCCGGGTATATCTTGGGAGTCTCAAAGTTAATGCATTCCAGGTGGAGCCAGTCTGTCTGTCTATCTATCAGATTTATATGGCCACCCATCTTAAACAACTCTGGGTGGCTCACAACATCAGTAAACCAGTAACTATAAAACAACCATGAAACAATAAAACAGTAAAACGATCAGACCAAAACAAAAACAAAAACCCTGCACCTTAATCATCCCCTTAAGATGCCCGGCAGCAAGTTCAAATTTCCCTCATCCCACTTTGCAAAATCAATCGATCCCACTCTCCTGCGAGGGCTGCCATTCATAGGCTATCTCGGAGGTAGCCATGGCATTTTTGGGGTTTGTTTTAAATGGATCACAAGGGTTAAGGTTATTCTAGCTGTGTGCTCCTTGGTGAATGGTCAAAACCTAAACAGAATTCACAGGGGCAGCTCTCAGGATGCAAAAAAGGAAAGAATCCTCAGAGGTATTTTATCTTATATTGTATGCTAAGTACCCACGAGTGGCATCCTGTGTCTCTGAATGTATGTTTGGAAAATGTTTGGACAGCAAACAACCAAACATCTTTCAGGTTGCAAAGAGAAAGGGAGATAATGCAAGATTCAAAAGCCTGTGCATGGATAGTTCAATCTAAGAAAGAAAGAGAGAGAGGGGGGGGGAGGGAGGGGGGAGAGACAGAGACAGAGAGAGAGACAGAGAGAGAGAGAAAGGAAGAAAGGAAGAAAGGAAGAAAGGAAGAAAGGAAGAAAGGAAGAAAGAAAGAAAGAAAGAAAGAAAGAAAGAAAGAAAGAAAGAAAGAAAGAAAGAAAGAAAGAAAGAAAGAAAGAAAGAAAGAAATTCAGTTGGCCGTTACACTTCTATCTTGGCATTGATATCCAAAGGTTTAGAAGGAGTACATAGTCTCAGCACTTCATTGTAACTAATCCCAAGTGCATGTCTCTAAAATAATCACATATTCTCCTTCTTATTCTTCCTTCATTTCCCTCCCCCTTCTGCCATTTCTCTCCTGTTTTGAAATTGTAAGCCTCTGGGATAGGAACCTGTCAAGCCTAATCTCTATCAAGTACTACATACTTGGATCGTAGCATATAAATAATGAAGTAGAGCAACTACCAATGGTAGTGGTTAAGGCACCAGGCTGGAGACTGGGAGACCCAGTCCCGCCTTGGGCACAAAGCCAGCTGGGTGACCTTGGGCCAGTCACACTCTCTCTCTGAGCCCTGGGAAGCAGGCAAGGGCAAACCACTTCTGAAATCTTGCCAGGAAAACTGCAGGGACTT